TTATCAGCACTACTCCTTGGATCAGCTTGGCCCATCTGGTGTGGAGTCGTAACATTACCCCGCCCATTAAGAACGACCGTGTCCTCAAGGTCGAGAGATGGATACAACTGTTGTAGTGTGTCTCTCTCTTCCCACGTGGGTGCAGAAGATGCGTCCCATGCAACCAAAAACTGCTGCACTTGGCCCTCACGGGACTGAATCATTCGAGAATCCAGGATTTGCACGGGTTGGGCAATCGGCCCTTCCGGTGTGGTCAACAATGGCAGGGGCATATAAGATTCTTTAGGCTCATCACCGCAAAATTTCTTGAGCAGGGAAACATGAAAAACCGGATGAATTCTGGAATGATCCGGTAGTTGTAATCTGTAGGCGACCTTGCCAATTCGACTGATCACTTGAAAAGGCCCGAAATAAACCATAGAGAGTTTATAATACTTGCGAAGTTGGACAGAATGCTGTCGGTATGGCTGTAACTTCACCAAAACCCAAGCACCTACTTCAAATTCCACGTCTGAGCGTTTCTGATCAGCAAACCGTTTCATGCGGTGTTGAGCTTTTTGTATGTTTCGTTTCAAGACCGTCAAAACTTCATCCCTCTGTTCTAATTGCTGGTGAACATCTAATGGTGTGTCTTCAACGGAGGAATGTTTTAACAGTGGGGGTGGTTCTCTGCCATACACCACCGTGAACGGGGTCGTGCCAATGGAAGTCTGAAACGATGTATTATACCAGAACTCGGCCCAAGGTAAGAACTCGATCCATTTTCGAGGGAATTCATGCGCCATGCACCGCAAATACATTTCCAGGCATTTATTAACAGCCTCAGTTTGACCATCTGACTGAGGATGATACGCCGAGCTCATACATAATGAAGTCCCCTGCAATTTCATAAGGTGTTTCCAAAAGCTACTGGTAAAAATTCAATCCCGATCAGAAACTATTGTTTTTGGTAAGCCATGGAGTTTGACCACATGCTGTAAAAAGCTTCCGCCACTTGCTTAGTGTTAAAATTGATTGGCAAAGCAATAAAGTGGCTGTACTTTGACAACCGATCAACCACCACAAATATATTAGCATATCCTTTCACTGGCGGAAGGTTGGTAATGAAGTCGACTGAAATATCATCCCAAATTCGTTCTGGAATGGGCAGAGGATTGAGTAAACCAGCAGGGTGGAGTTGACTAGTTTTGGCTTTCTGACACACGGTGCAACATTTGACATAATTTCTGATTTCTCTTCGCATCTGTGGCCAATAAAATAATCGAGCAATGCGGTGAAAAGTCCGAAGGTATCCTGCATGACCTCCCATGGCAGATGAATGGAACTCCTCTAATATCTGTTTTATGAGTTCATGGTCATCATGGGGTAACACTAAACGATTTTTCCAATACAACTCGCCTTGCCTCACCCGAAAATGACCCATAGTTTCTGGAGAATTTAGAACACGGTCTTTTTCAGCTTGAATCACCGTTGATGTGCGTACTCGATCATAAACCAAACTCATAAGAGAGTTCTCAAGTGTAGTCAATGTCCAGCAAGTCGATCGAGAGAGAGCATCCGCCGCTTGATTAGAGCTTCCTGGTTTATATTCGATACTGAACTAATATTCGAGCAATTTTGGGAGACATGATTCTTGTTCAGGGGTTTGGATGGTTTGAGACTGCAGATGTTTTAAGCTTGCATGATCCGTCCGAATAATGAACAGGTGACCGATTAGGTAGTGTCGAAACTTTGCGACAGACTCCGTTATTGCGTGTAACTCCCTAACATAAGCTGATTGTGATTGCATTCAAGCTGAGAGCTTTTTAGAAAAGAAAGCAATCGGGTGATTGTCTTGACACAGCACCGCACCAATGCCCACCCCTGAGGCATCCGTCTCCAAAACGAAAGGCTTAGTAAAATTAGGCAAAGCCAGAACAGGGGCATGAGTTAGAGCCTCCTTCAACCTGTCAAATGCCATTTGAGCCTGATCATCCCAAACGAAAGCATCCTTGGCTAGTAGCCGCGTGAGTGGGCCTGCTACATTGGCATATCCCTTGATAAATCGTCTATAATAGCCGCTGAGACCTAGAAAACTCATCAGCTGCGTGGTATTTGATGGGCAGGGCCACTGTTGAATAGCTTGAATCTTCTTGTGGTCCACCTCTACCCCCATACCTGACACAATATATCCCAAGTATTCTATTCTCTTTTGCCCAAATGAGCATTTTGACATCCTTGCAAATAACTGATGCTTCTGCAATTGACCCAGTACTAAGCTTACATGTTCTAAGTGCGATTCCCAAGTGCTACTGTATATCAAAATATCATCAAAAAATATTAGCACGAAACGCCGAAGGAACACTCTAAAAACAGAATTCATCAATGACTGAAATGTAGCCGGTGCATTAGAGAGACCAAATGGCATGACAAGCCATTCATACAGACCCATATGCGTTCGGAAGGCAGTCTTTTCCCTGTCACCTTCACGCATCAGAATCTGATGATAACCTGAACGGAGGTCCAGTTTCGAGTAAAACACTGACCCATGTAATTCATCCAATAATTCATCCACCGTAGGCATTGGAAAAGCATCTTTAATCGTGACTATATTAAGAGCTCTATAGTCCACACAAAAACGCCATGTTCCGTCCTTCTTCTTGACTAATATAACCGGCGCTGAAAACGGGCTTGAACTGTGTTGAATCAACCCCTGCTTCAACAACTCTGCCACAATCTTCTCGATTTTGGACTTTTGCCTCACTGGGTAGCGGTATGGTCTGACTTTTACCGCACCCACTCCAGCTTGAAGCTCTATCCTGTGTTCATGCCCTCTTTCCGGTGGTAGCCCATGGGGTTTTGAAAAAACAGAGCTATATTGTTGTATCAACTCCCCCAACTCTTCCGGTGTACCTTCAGGAATTAACAATTCTTCTGGTTCTCTTTCAATTTTTTCAATGGTATATAATTCAGCTATGGCTTCGACTTGTTGTATTCTCACTAAGTGGTGAAACTGAGCATGTAATACGGGAGGTCCCCTGAACCCCTTCAATGTGATAAATTCACCGTCATCTTGTAGTATCTTAATCATTGAGGAGCTATAGTCAGCTACATGTGGGCCCAAGGTCTCTAACCAATCAGCTCCTATTACGGCATCGACCCCTGCTACTGGTAAGATATGCATGGTAATGCGTAGTGTATGGCCATTGATCTTGATCGGTAAATTTGAAACGATCTCATCACTTTTTAAAATCTTCCCTAACCCCCCAAGTACCCTCAACTCTAGGGCAGGCTCCACAGGAAGTTGTAGATGCTTTACGATTCGAGGATGCAAGAAGTTATCTGAGCTCCCGCCATCAAGCAATATTTGTATTTCAGTTCCCTGAATTTTTCCTGTGAACTGAATCGTAGCAGGGCCCTGTGTGCCCCTCAATGCATGCACAGACAGATGATGAAGAGTGGCCCCTACATCTGGATCTTCATTTATAGAACCCGATTCAGCATTCTCTTCCTCGATTCCTTCTTCTCCCATTAACATCATGAGTTGTTTGTTGGGGCATTTATGGCTTAGGGTGAATTTAGCATCGCACGTATAGCACAGGCCCTTATCTCTTCGTACTTGCATCTCTGCCGCCGTCATTTTCTTAATCTGTGGAATGTTTGGAGTCGGTAACAATGGCGACAAGTTCACCTTCCCTCCAGTGTTAGAGCTACCAGCTATTGTCCCTCCCCCTGTAACTGTAGTACTCGACTTCATTAGGTTGCTCGTGCTCCCAGCAGAATGGTTGTATGGAGCTCGTGTCCTTGTAGTATTGATCCCATAATTAGTGGTTTCTGAGAAAAGTCGTGACAGGGCCATAGCTTTTAGAACAATCATTGGACGTTGCACCATTACGTCACGTCGCAACTCTGGTTTCAACCCTCCCAAATAACAGTCTAATAATGCATACTCTGGGACATCTTCTGTTCGATTCGCAAGGGAAAAAAATTTACTGTTATATTCCTCTAATGAGCCGTGTTGTACCAACTTAAAAAGCTGAGCGCGGGCGCAGTCAAACTGCGTGGGGCCATATTGCTCTTCCACCGCCTGTGCAAGGGCCTGCCAATGGGGCACTCGGTTGGTTCTCTCCAACATCTGGAACCATGGTAGGACGTCACCGTCGAAGTGGACAGAGGCAATGACCAACCTCTGTGGATCTTTAACTCCATAATATTTAAAGAATTGCTCTGCTTTAAAAATCTAGTTCAGTGCGTCTGTTCCATCAAACCGTGGAAAATCAATTCTGATCTGTTTTCCCACCATAGGTACGTGAGCAGGTGTATGCCCTCCTTCTCCTGAAACGAACGATGAAGGGTCCTTGGACTGGCTTCCTGAACTTTCATTTCTTCGGTTCAGATTGTCTACCGATTTCATCAAGGCTTCCAGTAGATTCTCAATTCGACCAAAACGGCCTTCTGCATTATCCATAAACTCATTTACTCTCTTCATATCTGTCTATAGATCCTTCAAACGAGTATTCTCAGCCATCACGTCTCTCAACGAAAGCACCAAAAATGCAATGATAGTAACCGAATACTAGAATAGCAACAAATGAGACTGCAAATGGATATATTTATATATTACTGATCAGCGATGCAGTACACTAATGGCAATATATCAAAACGTCTGCAAACAGTACAACAGAAAATGCATAAGACGAAAGAAGGAAAAGCAATAGGAGCGAGGAGATCCAGAGAATCTGGCCAGAAGAAATCACGACCCAAATCATGCACACCCCCTCTAACGGCTTTTGTCGTATTATATAAGAGCATCCTTTCCTATTTCCCGAAGCTTCCAAGGCCTCTTCTTCATTCGTTGGCTTCTACGAAGACCAATATTCTGGTTTGGGCTTTTATCAGCACTACTCCTTGGATCAGCTTGGCCCATCTGGTGTGGAGTCGTAACATACACTTACGAGGAGTATCAAGAGTGGTGCCGTCCTTGGAACAATGCCCTCGTCTTGACTGTCCTAGGCAAAAGAATGATATCTCGCCATCTTAAGAACTGGCTCAAAAAGATTTGGGGTTTTGCTGAGTTCAACATCGTAGACCTCCCAAACAACTACTTCGTAGTGCGCTTCACAGACCAACAGCACTGGAGAGAACATTACAAGAAGGTCTTATTCGAAGGCCCCTGGCTAGTGCAACAGCATTGCGTTGCCATTCAACGCTGGTCGCCCCACTTTGACCCCATGAATAACTCTCTCAGGCGAATGATTCTTTGGGTTCGTATCCCGAACATTCCGATGCATGGATACAACAAACACTTCCTTCACAGATTAGGCGACCGAATAGGCAGGACAGTCCGAGTAGATATGAACACAGTTCAAGAAGTTGCACGAGCTGACAGTGAGCTAGAAAGAGGAAGATACGCAAAAGTCTGTGTTGAACTTGACTTACAGCAGAAGCTGGTCCCCAGAGTTATCTTTGGCAATTCGATCTTCAACGTGGAGTACATGGGAATCGATCTTATCTGTTTTTACTGCGGACGTTATGGTCATCGAAAAGATCAATGCCCGTGGAATAATGCCACCCAGTCACCATGTAACCATAAACAAGACGAAAGAAATAGAGAACCATCAACTCCTCCCACCCCGACACTGAAAACTCCGGTGACCGGAGAGGATAAATTTGGGGAGTGGATGCTGTCCGGCAAACCGAGAAAATCTCGACCCCGAAGAACTGACAAACGCAGCCTATCACAGTCTGAACAGGGGAGTAGCTCAAGGTCAAATAGGAAAAGTGACAAACCCAAAACTTTTTCACGATTTGCAGCTTTAGCTGATCTGGAAGAAGACCCAAAAGCACCACCCTTTGACCACCCTAACACTGAAAGGGCCTCTGATAGCGCGATACTGCAGGAAAATCCTTCCTCTTATGTGAAGATCACAGGTAAGCTACCATCATCCCCTAGGTCCGGACAAATGTCACAGGAAATTGTCAAATCAGGAAACCAGGGCAATCCCAAGTCTCATAATAGGCCAACGGGCAAGGAAAATAAGATACCAAATGCTAGTAATGCACAGGACAGCTCGTCTTCGAAAAGTGTTGAAAGAAATGATATTGGGCCTACCCCAAATAGCACACTGAACAGTCCAAAAATGGCCAGACAACGAAACCATGTCGTGGTTGAAGGAAATATTACTCAGATTGGGCCCCCCATAGCCAGCCCAAAACCAAAACCCAGCACCACCTCAAACACCCCCTCAACAGGCCCCTCCCCAAAATTAATATCCAACAAAGACTCAATTTAGAAAGCAGGCCCGGTACAAGTGAATGGGTCAGACCAGATTTCAAACAAGAGTCACCCCCCCAAACCGCCCAATTGCAACTCAGTACCCTCTAATTCTCACAATAGCGAGGGAGACTCCTCTTCCATGGATCATGATGGCTCAGATGAATCTTCCCAGGAAAAACAAGGCAACGCCGAGAAGGACACAAGGTAACTTGTTCCCTGTTTGGCCTCGTTCTCAGTCTTTTATGATTATAGCTAGCTGGAATTGTAGAGGTGCTGGAGGAAGAGGTTTCTCCCGTATCCTTAAAGAAATTGTCAACAAGCATCATATTGATGTTTTCTGCCTGGTTGAACCACGTATAAGTGGTAATAGAGCAGACACAGTAATGCGCAAACTGGGTTTCTCTCACTGGATTCGTATAGAAGCCTCAGGCTTTGCTGGGGGCATCTGGTGCTTGTGGAACGATGCCAAAATCAAAGTTCAGTACTTATCCTCTAACACTCAGATTCTACACTGCAGTATTTTTGATTCTAATTCTCAGAACTCCTCACTCGTGTCTTTTGTGTATGGCGAAACTACTCCACTGAAACGAAAAGGTCTTTGGGATTCTATTTCTTCTCTGGCTGGTGTTGTCAATGAACCTTGGATTCTCCTAGGGGATTTCAATGCTTACCTTTCTCCTCACAACAAGACTGGAGGAGGAAACATAAATTGGAATTCCATCCATGACTTCAACAATTGTATTAACTCCTGTGGTCTTCAAGAAGTCCCGGTCGTAGGGGATATATTCACTTGGGAAAGAGGAGCAATTAAGGAAAGGTTAGACTGGACCTTCTGCAACTCTCATTGGGCTGACGCAAATCCAACCACCAAGATATTCCATTTACTCCGTTTCAAATCTGACCACAGAGTCACTTTCTTGGTTGACACTGTTGCAAACCCCTCCCACATAAAAGTCAAACACTTCAGATATAATGCTGCCTGGGCTATGGAAGAAAGCTTTTCCCAACTTGTCGCTCAGTCTTGGGAAAATTCTACGTGGCAGGAAGGGTCCAAGAATTTTGCTATCTCTGCTCTTGCCTAGAATGATCAAAATCTTGGGAGTATACCGAAGAAAAAAAGAGAGACTTTGAGGAGATTAGAAGGCATTGACAAAGCAAGAACGCACAGTGATTGCAATGGGTTACAGAAACTGGAATCATCTCTTTGGAAATCCTACAACAAACTTGTTGCTCAAGAGGAATTTTTATGGTGGCAAAAATCTCGACAAAAATGGCTTCAATTTGGGGATCAGAATACGAGATTCTTTCACTCATCCACCATCATTAGACATAAGAAAGAGAGAATCGACTCCCTTTTGAATGAACAAGGTGTATGGATAAGTGACCATAATAGTCTAAAGCAGATGGCCTTTGACTTCTTCAAAAAGCTCTACACCAAGGAACCCCGTCCCTATCAAGCTGATTTCTTTGCAAAATTCCCTTCTCTTCAGGTTCAAGACATACAAGCGATTGAAAGCGGAATTTCAGATCTAGAAATAAAAAATGCTGCCTTTTCAATGGGTGCCTTTAAATCTCCTGGCCCAGATGGTTTGCAACCTCATTTCTTCCAAAGCCAATGGAACCTTGTTGGTGATAAAATTTGTAGACTGATCAAGGAAACTTTTGACCACCCAAGGAAAATGGCTGAGTACAATCAAGCCAACATTATCCTCCTCCCTAAAGTTGACCATCCCACTTGTCTGAAGGAGTTTCGGCCAATCTCCCTTTGCAACATGAGTCTCAAAATCCTCACTAAGATCCTTGCAAATAGATTGAAGAGTCACCTTGACCATATCATTGATCCTCATCAAAGCAGTTTCATCATGGGAAGACAGAGTTGTGACAATGTTATATTGGCCCAAGAAGCTTTGCATACTATGAGAACAAGGAAATCAAAGAAAGGGTTCATTGCCATTAAAGTGGATCTGGAAAAGGCGTTTGACTGCCTGGATTGGGATTTTATTAGAGAAACACTCAAAAGCCTAAATTTCAGTGACAAGTTCATCAACCTCATCATGTGCTCTATCACTTCTGCCACCCTCAAAGTGCTTTGGAATGGTGATGAGACTCAAACCTTTTCCCCAACAAGAGGTGTCAGACAGGGTGACCCTTTGAGTCCCTATATCTTCGTGCTTTGTATGGAAAGGCTCAGTCAACTCATTTCCTCTCTTGTGGCAGATAAAAGGTGGAAACCTCTTCTCTTCAAGGCTAAGGGACCAAGCCTATCTCACCTTTTTTTCGCTAACGATCTCTTCCTTTTCTCAGAAGCTTCTTTGGACCAAGTTGATCTTATAAAAAGCATCATGTCTGAATTCTGCATAGCTTCAGGTCACAGGGTTAACCTGTCAAAGTCAAAAATCTTTTGCTCTCCTCACATCAACCATAACCGTGCCGTGGAAATTAGTCAACACTTGGGGATTGGTCTAACTGCCGACCTGGGAAAATATCTTGGCGTGCCTCTTATTCATGGCAGGGTCACCAAGAATATCTTCACCCCTCTTGTTCTAAAACTACAAAAGAAGCTTACAGCTTGGAAAGGGAATTTTCTGAATCTTGCAGGGAGAACTATTCTAGTAAAATCTGTGTTGAACTCTATCCCTATGCACTTAATGCAGACCATGCTTCTACCAAAAGGGATTACTGAAGAGATCTCGAAACTTAGCAGGAAATTCCTATGGAATGAACACACAGGTTCACGCAAAATTCACCTGGTCGCTTGGGAGAACGTTTTGCAGCAAAAAGACAAAGGAGGACTTAATATCAAGGACCTCCATTTGCAAAACCAAGCTTTCATCCTCAAGCTCTGTTGGCAGCTTCTCACGAAACCTCATATGCTTTGGGTTCAGTGTTTAAGAGCTAAATACGGTTGTAATTTCAATGGTTTTCCCCAGATTCAAAATAAGAAATCTGCCTCTGTTACCTGGCGCAGCATTGTTAAAATGTGGGATCAATTTCTTGAAGGAGTGGGAAGGAAAATTGGGAATGGTTTAAATACTAGATTCTGGTGGGATAAGTGGTCTCCTTTAAACAATCCTCTCATTTGTTATATAGATCCTACCACCAACAATCTAGACACCCAAGCCTCTGTCAATGATTTTCTTCTCCCTAATGGAGAATGGGACATTACTGCCTGCAATAGAGTCCTCCCTCAAGCAATTGTAAACAAAATTGTCTCCACCAAAATTAATAGACAACTCTCTGAAGACCTACATTGTTGGCGACCATCCAATGATGGAAACTTCTCAGTCAAAACAGCTTATCAGTTTATTAAGCACGGTCCTGAATTGAACTACTGTTCCACTTGGAAGAGGATGTGGAAATGTCCGGTTCCAGAGAAATTAAAATTCTTCCTCTGGCAGGCTATCCATGATAGACTCCCTACGAACTACCTGAGAGCTCAAAGGAAACTCACTTCTGATAGTTCTTGTCCCTATATGTGTGATTGTGAGGAAAACACTATTCATATCCTGAGAGACTGTGAGATTGCCAAGAGTGTCTGGAGAGGAATTATTAAAACTAACGTTTCTCATGTTTTTTTTGCTGGTAACTTGCAGGTGTGGATGGATTGGAACCTCAGAAACAAAGCTGGAACACATATCTTCAGAAAATGGTCATGGCAACAAGTCTTCTGTACCATCTGTTGGTTACTATGGACTTCAAGATGCAGGAAAGCGTTTGAAGGGAAAGTATGCCACCCCTCAACTATCAGGAATATCTGTCTTCATAAATTGTTGGAGGATAGAGATCATCAGAAATTTACCAACACGATCCTTCAAATTTCAAATAGAGAAACCGCAAGATGGACCCCCCCGCAGCGTGACTTCATCAGGATCGACATAGACGCTTCTGTCACCAATATTCAACACGGAGCATGTGGAGGTATCATTCGGAACTCAGAAGGCTTATGGGTGCTAGGATTCAAACAGCGTTTGGGCTTTGTCTCGCCCACTGAAGCTGAACTACTTGCCATTCTCACTAGACTTCAAACCTGTAAGATGAAGGAATTTCAGAAAGTCTCCATGTTCTCCGACTCTTTTGAAGCCATTAATCTTATTTTTAGAGATGGTAATCAAGGCCACCCCCTTTGGAACATTATCCAGGAAATTCGCCTAACTATAGCTGAGATCTGGACATTTGAACTGCATCACTCACCCAGAGAAGCATTGACATGTGCTGACCTCCTGGCAAAAAATGCTCATGATGCGGACACAACACCAACTTTTTATGACTGTTATTTCCGTTTGTGCGGCCCAATATGCACGTGATATGGGCTAATCCCCCCTAGTCTTTTGTTTGTTTCAAGCTCTGCTTGCCGTTGCTAATTCAAAAAAAAAGAAAAGAGAAGGGTGATAGCTTGGATAGAAATTAGTTCAGGTGTTGCGTTGGCCAAAAAAAAAAAGTTCAGGTGTTGCATGTTTATTGGTTAGAGTTTATGCGAAGTAGGAATCTCTCTCACAGGGCACATGTTCTCACTTCTCAAAACACATTACCCATGATGCTCAAAACACTCACAGCCCAAAAAAAAAAAAGAAATCTTCTCACCTGCAGGTTTGAAGTTATAACAAGGACAAGAACCAAGAGAGAGTGACGTACACGGGCATTTTTACCTAAACCCTATAAATAGTAAAAAAAAAATTTACTTAAATACTATAAGGTAAAAAATATTTACCAAAATACTACATTAGAGATCGTTCTTCAATCTTCAAAAGAACGATTTTGAATTTTTGAACAAGTTGTTCACATGAAGAATGGTTTCTTCATCTGACATTTTTTTTTCAAATAAAAAATTGAAATCATTTTGAAGAAGGACGATTTTAACATTAACAATTTTTTTAGTAAAAATTGCAACTAAAAACCCACATTATTAACTTTGCCATCTCCTTCTATTTCATTTTGAATTTTGATGGGAATTACAATTGATGACCCAATCCCCTCAGTACATACTTTTTTTTATTTATATTTTATATTTTCAACAAAACATGAAAAAATATAAGCAAATTTTATAGGAAGATTATTTCTTATCTTGATAGTTGAATTTAAAATTAATATATAAAATAAACTAAATAAATATAAAATCTACTTATGCTCTCTCCGATCTCAGTATAAATCACTTCAACTAATTTATCATAATAAAAAATAATAATAGTCAAGTCAATAAATTTGTCTTAAAATGAAATTTTTTCAAATTTACCATATTAAATGAGGTTTTGGAGGATGGAAAAAAAAAAAAAGAGCCTTGTTTAAACATTAATTCATGGGGGAAAAAATGACAGTTAACTCATTAAATTTGTTTTAAATTGAAATTTTTTTAACTTTATCATATTAAATAAGGTTTTGAAGGATAAAGAAAAATATAAAAAGACTTATTTAATTTAGGGCTTGTTTAGAGCTCCGTTTAAAACGGACTTTTAAGCAAGTTCACATAAGCCAAAATAAAACTCTCTTCATATACTTACCTCATAGTCTGCAAATCACATTTGAAAAGCTACTTATAAGCCAATCCAAACAAGCCTTTAAGAATCAAATACATGACAAAATTGACAAATCAATATTAATTAAACTCCAAGTAACTTAATTAATAGACCAAAAAACACATTTCAGAAGTTACTTATAATGTGGATCTTAAGAAGCATTTTTTTTTTAATATTTTGTTGAAAATGTAAAATAAAAGTCCATTCCATTAACTTTTTTTTTTTGTAGAGAATTACATTTGAGAATTTTTTTCTCTATAAAATTGGTGTTAATGCACATCCAATACCTTGAAGTATTTTGTGGTGCATATAGTGTACTGAAGTATTTTGTGGTGCATCCAGCACCCTAAAATATTTTTTTACAATACGTCTAGCACCATAAAATATTTTTTGGTGTATCTAGTACCAAGGCGAAAAAATTCTTCAGGGTGTTGGATACACCTAAAAATACTTTAGATACTAGATACACTACTAAATATTTTGGGGTGCTAGATGCACCTTAATCCTAAAATCTATTTATATTTTTTATGTTTTGCAGAAAATATAATATAAAAAAAGAGTATGTGCTGAGGGGATTGGGTCATCAATTGTAATTCTTATCAAAATTCATAATGAAATAGAAGAGGACGGCAAAGTTAATAATGTGGGTTTTTAGTTATAATTTTTACTGAAAATGGTGTCAGTGTTAAAATCATTCTTCTGAAAAACAATTTCAATTTTTTTATTTAAAAAAAATGTTAGATGAAGAAATCGTTCTTTGGGTGAACGACTTCTTCAAAAATGTAAAATCATTCTTCTGAAGAATGATTTCTGATATAACATTTTGATAAATACTTTCTACCTTATAGCATTGAGGTAAATTTTTTTATTGTTTATAGGGTTTGGGTAAAAATGCCGATGTATACATCTTTTTCGGGTACTGAGTCAAAGGCAAGCTTTTGATTTTCTTTTTTCCTATCGTACTACTATTGGAGAGGTAATCCTATTTAAGACACTATTGGGTACTAAATATGAGCACCATTCCAGACTCCAATTGTGAGAGATTATCCTCTTTCGTTAGACCTAACCCCAGATACTACTCCAGGTACTTAATATAAGAATTAGTTAAAGATTCAATTTGGTTCTAAATATAAAACCTTAATTCACTTTATTTTTCGTATTTATCTATTTTTCCCCATGTAATCTTTATAGTAATGGCAAGAACTGTTTCAATACACGAGGAATGCAGCACTTCTTTACTACAAATAACTAACTTAACTAATTTTTGAATATTTACAAATTAGTTATATAGTTTTTATATTAAAGACCACTATTTACTTTAAATTACTAATTTAACTAATTTTTTAAATATTTACAAATTAGTTATCTGGTTTTAATATTAAAAATCCGATATAGTAACTATTCAATACGTTTTAGTCTGATACCAAATATATAAAAAGGGAATTATAATATTAATAAAATCTTTAAAAAATAATTATCAATAAGTTTTAATAATAAGTAAAAAATTATTATTTACTATTTTAAAACTTGTTATTAGATTCTATATAACTTTTTATAATTATATTCTGTATCTGGTTTCCATTTCAATTGTCTCAATATAAAGCGATAGACTCAACAACTTTATAATATATTGGAACTTCTTCTCTTTCTTTCTGTCATTAATTGAAAAAGGCCGCTTGGCCTAGACCTATCCCTCGTACTGTATATTTGAGACAAGATTGTCTGTGTGACTCTGTCTCTCTGCACAGTGCTCACTGCTCCCTTTGCGCCGCTGTCTTTGCCCGTCGTTCTTCACTCTCTACTCTCTGCCTCACTTGTTCACCGTGGCCCTCTTTCCGGTTGCAACGTTGGCTCCTGAGGAAAATCGGTAATGATTATTCTGTTGAAGATTGATCAACTTAGTTTAAGTGATTAATTGATGATTCTGTGTTCCCAATGTGTTTGTGTTCATTTGAATTAATTTATTTTGAGTTTGTCATGCGAGAGCTTTGTTTGTCTGATTCCTTAATTCAAACTTTTATATGTGAAAGAGTGGGATATACTCAAGTATGATACATATAAAGCCTCCTCCAATGGTGTTCCCACTGGCATTCTCATCTCATGCTTCATCCTCTCTGATTCTTCTTTCTGAGTCTCCCATTCTCACTGTTTCTTTCACCACATGCGTTGTCGCTCTTCTCTCTGTCTCTCTCTGTCTCTCTCTCTTTCTTATCGCCATACTTACCATAGCCCAGAAAGTCTCTGCCTTCTAGCAAAACATAAACAAAGCATAAGGATTTCTCTGCTCTTCATTGTTCTAATTCTTCGTTGGTGGTGAGGTGCATGACTTGCTCTGATTTTGAGAAACAGAAATTCTCATGAACTTCGTTTTCTTTTTCTTTTCTTCTTTCTAAGCTCAGTGAGCAAACCATGGAATCCCCTCTTTCACGATATTTGTTGTTATTCAGACAAAAATACAATTGGTTTATAAATTTCGATATGATGCCACCCTATAGACAAGAGATTAAGAATGTCATGGTGCGAACACTTTAATTTGTGTTATTTATTGTTGCTCCTCTGGTCGATCTGCAGTCATAACTTTTTTGATCTGGGCTCAAGGTCGAGGGAACCAGTTATTGTTTTTTTTTTTTTAATTTTTTGCCAACCATTATTGTTTTTATTAATCCATCATCTATGCTTCCATCTTTTTGTGTGCAAACTAATTAATAACAGCTTTAACACGTGTTGATCCTACAGATCTCTCTCGTTGACATTATATTATATAGATCCCCAAAATGTCGACATTGGGAGGTGACTTGGAACAAAACGCGCCGATCGACTTGGACCCTCCCGTGGGGCTGCACCGTCCTTCACCTGGTGACTCTTCAGCAAGGCCAAACGAGGAATCAGGTGAATGAGTACAAAAGCTCTTCTTATTTCTGTGTCCTTTGGATCAATAGATGTCATTAAAAAAAAAAATGCTTGCATTTCTTTAACAAAGGTTTGGTCAGAGAAAAAGGACTCGATATATTTCTAAAGTAAAATTTTGAGTTCATTTCAATGTTGCAAATACAAAAATCAAAATTGTTCAGGAAATCATACTATTGCCTCTTTCTTGTCAAGAAATCTTGATAAGTAAGGTCTTTCCCCACTTTTTGTTGGTTAGATACATTAATCAATGGGCATATTTATATTATCAAAGTAGAACTTGCTTCTTCAAATGGACCTTTGCCTCTTTAAATTTCATGTTGTTTTTTTTTTCTTCACTATGAATGCATCATAATGAAGTTTTCACTTTGGTAATTGCTTTTCGTTGTTTCAATCAATACTGCCTTGGTTGCTTTTTATAAGAAACAACTAAGCAAATCGCATTGATAAAAAAAGTTAGTCAAAATTGGTCAGAGAAAATAAATAGGTAAAAACTCTAACTTTTTCTCAAAAATATCCTTATTTATAGGGGAGATACTGTAAGGAAGATAATAAAAAATTATTAAATATTAAAAGGATTGTGGGGGGAGAGAATGTGTAGTGAAAAGAATGCTTGGAGAGTCATGTGATAATAAATGTGTAGATATTAAAATGAACAATTAAATGAGGACAAAATGAGAAATTAACACCAAAAATTTGGGACATCCTCTAAATATTTCTTACAAGTAGGAACAAAACATAAATAGTAGTTGCTTCTTATAAAAAGAAATGGATGGAGTACATCATAAACATGAAAATCTCCTCCTCCTCAAGATGCACTTAACAATAATTGAACACAACTACCTTTTTAATATATTACTCAAAACACTTATCCTATGTCATGTACAGGGGCACTAACAAAAGCAGCTATATAGTATCCTATATATGCCAACATCTTCAACAGTGTGTATTCATTTAATCATTCAGGTGAGGAGAGGGCATGGAAGGAGGATTTGTGCCATGCAATATGCGGTAACAAGTGGAGTGATGTGAAAGTAATTCTGGATCAAAACCCTAATGCTTTGACTTCAGTAATTTCTTATAAAGGCAGAACAGCACTTCATGTGGCTGCAATGTTTGGGAATGTCACCATTGCGGAGGAGTTACTAAAATTACTGCCTCCAGAATTCGTTCTAACTCCTGATTCTGACGGTCGTACAGCACTTCTAATGGTTACTTATTTTAGTGGAAACACTCAAGTCGCAAAATCCCTCGTAAACAAGAATAGCCGCACACTTGTAATTCCAGACATTGTTGGTGATCTTCCTGTTATAGTGGCTTTTGGAAAGGGTTACCAAGAAATGGTACGTTATCTTTATTCTGTCACTCCATTGGAATGCCTCACAGGCCGTTCGGGTTCTAGGCTTCTTCATCATTGTTTACATGCACAATGCTTTGGTATGTTATAGAATCTTGCTTCTTTTGTTTTTGATGCTCTTGTCAATTCATGGCGTGACTATATATACACACACACATATCTATATGTATAATGCAGATATCGCGCTGAATTTGCTTCAACAATGTGAAGAATTGCTTTCAGTGCCCTATAGTAATTCAGGGATGACCCGGACGCAATTCTTGAGATCGCAACGTTGAACACTGCTATTCTTAGCTCAAGTGAACTTATCTTCTGGAAACGATGGATCTATAATTGTTGGTACCAGTGGACTTAAGTATATGTGTGTGGGTATCAAATGCTTTCCTTTCTTTTTCATTATCATGTGTAGATTTTGTTTGTGTTATTTTCTCCCCATTCTTTAGATTGTACCATACAACATCACGATTGTGAACAGAGACTATATTAAAACATGAACACTAGCCCCCCACACACATAATTGCTAATAGGTTATTTCCTTGGTCTTGATTGTCGTCAGCAAAGAAACCTTGCAGAATATAATTTAGAAAATATACTCAATGAGATTATTACAATTGAATGTTGTGAAGAACAACCTATAAATAAATAAAATAAGTGGGAAAAACCTGATTCAGAATATATTTAATTAACATAGAGGACATGTTTTTTCATATGCTGTTTTTATCCTATTTATTTATCATCATCGTTATTAATGCATTCCTTAAACGACGTGATCTTTCTTTGTTTCTTTGCCCATCTAAGATATAAATATACCTTCAACCATAGCTTCCAATCATGTTTGCGTGGACATCGGCCAAGAAGATGGAAGTCAAGGAGATAAAGCGAAACTTACCAAGCTAGGTATGTTACAAAAACATTGTTTGGAGAATATATGCAACACCTAACTTTCTATATACCAGAAGGGTCCACTTAACATCTGTGGATCACTAGACGCCAGTTTTCTATTATAGAAAATGACAAATTTTTTTTATATATATAAATACTGACGAGTGATTCACACACTTGAACCCTACTTCTGAAGAACGTATGACAGACACACAGATTTAAAATAATACTACTATTATATAAGTTACTACCCTGGTCATTCAGGACAATGACCCTTACCTGAGCACTGAAAGTACACACTCCCTTAAAGAAGGATACAAAATAGTATAATTACTAGTAAGTGGGGGTTACTTGCTCTTAAACATCTAATAAGTCAGATAATTAAATATCAAAATAATTATTCTATAGGTACAAAAGCAGCAGGCATTCCTGCTCTTCATACAAGCCCACCTTCAGCACTTATGACCTCCTTACTCTTGGAATTGCTTGCTCTAGCTGTATAATATAGGAAGGGAGGGTGAGATTCAAACGAATCCCCGTAGTAGTAATTTCCATCAAACAAATGTGCAGATTACATAAAGCATGCAAAACAAGCCAAAGTGGAACATAACCTTGCAAGCTAATGCAATTAAGCATTTATGCGCAATGACAGATAGACAAGCTGAATAAATAATGCGCAAATAATTGGCAATCACTGCCCCATGTCTATCAGCTACACGTAATCACGGCTAAATAATCCATGCAAGGAATTAAGGATTACATGTTCTCATGCTTTAGAAAAGCAATATGGCACAAACAGACATGCAGCAATCATACACAAGTGTAAGGTAGGAAAGAACTACTACCTGAACCTTCTGCTTCAAAATCAAACCTTACTTGTTTCCTTTCTCTTAGCTTCTTCGGTAGGCTTTTGCAGATATCAAAACCTATTATTTTAGTAAGGGTAGGTTAATGCTTGATCCAACTAAAATTCATAAATTAGAAATCTCTCTTTAAATCCCAATCCTTTTTCAATCTCTACCCTTACTTAATAGTTTGGTCATCCTGGACAATTTTTCTTATTTAATACATTTACTGTGGAGAGTTTCTCTCTTTATCTCAGCCCAAATAGTTACTTTTCTTAGTAATTGATCATCTTGGTCAAAAATAATATATTATACACACACACACAAGTCTTCTATCTTTAAAATATTTTCTATTAACACTTCATATTAAATCTCAAAATTATTCTCCAGTTTTGAAAATCATCGTCACAGCACTTTGATAAATTTCTAACCATATTCCAAAACAACTATATATAACAACTCTATTAGCCTTTAATTACTCTTATCCCCTTGCCTTTCAAGCTTACTAATCGAAAGTGTGTACACATACACAAATATATACTTTATAGCACTTCCCATGCCAAACACCTAACACTTAGGCGCCTATGGTAGAGTATAAATTATTATTTTTGTACTTCTAACTTGCTTCTAAAATTGGCTTGGCTTAATTAACTTCATACTGTAATTTCCAAATCCATACAATTCTTCACTTTAAGTCTAAAAGAGAAATTCCAGATTGGATGCCAATAGCTAAATCATTCCACTCAACATTCTATAGGTTCTTTTATCAATAAAATCCAATGATTTCTCAACACTTTGTAACAAAATATCCCTTGGTTCAAAGTTTCACATTTTAGAGTTCTAATCAATTTTCCTCTTAAAAATTCAAAAGTCCCCAAGCTTCAACCATTTCTATTCACCATTCGATCATATAACAAATTAACTTACATAATCATCACTTATCATTCAAAACCTTAAGAACAAACCATACATGGTTCTCCTCCTAGTAAATTTTGAGTATCAAGGTTCTAAAACCACACTCTTATTTATTTATTTATTTAGACAGCATTTCCACATCAACTCTAGGCTTCCAAAGTCAATTCTTCATATCACCACCAAACAGCTGCGCATCATTATTCTTTATATTCCTAATCATTCCTTCCATTAAACTCCAACTCTCCCACTCACACTTGAATCCCAATAAATTTTTACCCTCAACTCAAAATCCTTATTTCAACATCTTGTTTCAATTGCTAACTTAAATCTGGAAATTTTCATGTTGGAGAACAATATTTAAAATAACTAGCTTAGAATCTTTAAACTTAAATTCCAGATTTACAGCTCACACACCACTACTTCCTTCTTTCTCATATATCTCTCGCTACTCACATTCCAGCTCCCACGGTCACACTCAAGCAATTATATAAATATATAAAACCCGATACATCCATGTATAAACATACATCTCTGCCACTTTAGTTTCTAAAATTTCAGTCCCATGACAGCAACATTAATCAACATATCAGTGACATCAAAATTGGAAGACCCATAACCTCCCGTCACTAAATCAACCAGAAAATATATACTTATATGTACATATAACACAGGCCCATAAGCTAAACTTTATTCTGCTACAGATTGTGTATACATATAATATTATATTATATTCTTCCTAACTTACAGAACCTGAAGCTACAAGTATCGAAACTATATATATATATATATATCAGTTCGGTCTCCACTCAAACAAGAAACGAAATCAGCATGCAGCGACAAACCTCTGTTTTTCGGCAGCCAAAACAGAGAAGGAAAACAGCACATGCAAACTCAAAAACCAGCACCATATACTTCAATATTGCCATATAACATGAACCCACCGATCCTTCTCTCCTTTCCTTAACTTTCTCTCACTAAACCCAACTTCTACCTTCATCAACACCTCAAACAGCCCTTGTTTAACGACAATAAAGATGCGAGAAGGTTTAGAGAGCTCACCTGGAATGTTTGATCGGTTTGCATGCACTGGATACTACCTCCGGTCACTCCTCCAGCTCCACCAACTCAGTTTCTTCCGTGCTCTCCTTCTCTCACTCTCCATCTCTACCTCTCTTTTCTTTTGGGCACCGAACGAAATGAGTTAGACACGTGGGTAACCAGCTGTTACATGGAGGAGTGAATCAGATGGCTATTAGAGAAGGTAGCACGTGTATTACAAAGTTCCTGGACCAATCTTGACCTCACACATAATTATTTCTCCAATCCTATCATTTCTCCTATTTTTCTGAAATATAAGATATATCCAGAAATTAAACCAAAATATCCTGAATGGATTTTTCTTATCCATCACAACTGGTTATCCTAAAATTCTCAGATTAAATATAAATCTCTAAGTATTTTTTCCATAATTTCCAGAGAAAATAAACAATTCTTCTCTTAAAATTATCTATTAAAATTATTTAAGCCATTTTTGGGGAAATACCTTTTCCAAAATGTCTCTAAACCCTAAAAATCATTATTCCATAATTTTTCCCCCTTTATTTGGCAAATAAATAATTTTAATAAATTTTTCTCTTTTCTACTCATCCTAAATCATAAAATTCGGGGTGTTACAATACATATAGGAATAACATATCAATTTGTAGGCATTAAGAGAGTAACTTTTACTTTGCTTTTTTTAAAATTAATATTAATATCTTATATTTCCCCCCTCCCTAAATTTAAGAGCTAATAAAGAAATTTATTTTAATACTAAATGTAAGATTTCAGTTCACCTTATATCCTTCAAATCTATAATTTTTTCTCCTAAATCTCCCTGTTGATTACATATATTAAAAGAGTTTTCTGTTAAAAGAGTAGTTTACAGTACAAATGATTATAAGGAGTACTTTAGGGAAACCAATACGCTTTTTTTGAAAGCAAAAATTAACTAAACTATTTAATTTTCTTAATCTACTGCAAATTAGTTATTAAGTTTCTACATCGTAGGACATGATGGAGTAGTTATGTCGTGTCACGGAATATGACAATTTCGCATATATAATTGCCCAAAATCATGATATGGAATCGTACTCAACAATAAGTAGAAGTCTTTCCTTCGATTAACAGTATGCTATCTCTTCAATACAAGATTTCTATTTTAACATTTGTTCAGAAGAGTAATAAAAAATTTGGACTTAATTAACAGGGCATGGTTTACTACTAAAGCTCATCAACTCCACCGATAATTTTGTAGGTACGGATGCTAACTTTCATATCTCTTCAAAGAATTGGTTACATCTTCAAGCTTACTCTTAATTTTCATAAATCAGATTAAACTAACTAAAAGATCCATGTGTGATACGTATCAATGTAGGATTTAAGAAAATACAGGAGTTAAAGCTGCTGCATGCACAAGCAGATGAACTTCTTCGCCTAGTTTGTAAGAATGCAAGGAAGGCATACCAAAAGGGAGTTATAAATGAGGCTTTATGTCTTGCAGCTAAAGAAGGGAATGTGGAGTTTGTGTTTCAAGTATCAAAAGTAATCCCAGAGGGTTTCGTCGGTCGGACATTGCTTAAGTGTTTCAATGAAGCTCTTCACCATCGACAAGCTAGGGTTTTCAATCTTATCCATGGGCTCCGCTTCAAGGATGGCCTAGTAACAACCACACCTGATCATAATGGAAATTACTTGATGCATAAGGCAGCTATGAAGGCTCCTGATCACGTTCTTAATCGTATCTATGCACCTACACTACAAATGCAAAGAGAACTGCAATGGTTCAAGGTTAGAGAAAGACATGATTTAATTTTTAAATCATAATCTCATATAAGATTGAATCTGTTATAATTAAATATTATTGCATAAATTAATCAATTAAATACAACTTGTCTGCAAGTATTTGAGAGTGTTCTCCTCTACGGGTTCCACTTTCTTTAAAGGCATGTTGAGTGTTCTAGAATCATTAAAGGGCATCACAAAACTAGTAAATCTCATGAGGCCTGGCTTTGAACCAAAGTTCCACTTCCTTTGTCGTTTTCTCCCAAACTGGTTATATAGTAGAGTCTATCTGGTCTTGACAAGAAGAACATAAAAGTAATACTTTTTGAAATAAATGCAGGAAGTGAAGAGTTGAACCCCTCCAAGCTGTAGAATATTTCGAAACAAAAATGGTATGACGGCTGAAGAATTATTCAGAGGAAGTCATAGAGAGTTAATGAAGCAAGGAGAGAAATGGATAAAGACCACAGCATCTTCATGTTCAGTTGTTGGTACCCTAATTGTGACCATTATGTTTGCTGTAGCATTTACTGTTCCAGGAGGAAATGATCAAAATCTTGGTTATCCATTATTCATCAAACAACCATTTTTTAAGGTTTTCATATTCTCAAACATATTATCGCTTCTCTCTTCTTCAACTTCAGTTGTAATGTTTCTAGCAATTCTTACCTCTCAATTTTCAGAAGAGAAGTTCCTCAAATCCTTACCTTCAAAATTGATTTTGGGTCTTTCTTTTCTTTTTATCTCCATTGTAAGTATGATAGTAGCCTTTCTTTCTACCATTCGTCTCATGTTGAGGCATACAAACTACTCTTGGAGTGTCCTTCCCATTACTGTACTTGCAAATGTTCCGATCTTCTTTTTTGTGCTGTCACAATTCCCTCTTCTTCTGCACACTTTTGTTTCTACGTATGGGAATATCTTCGACAGGAAAGTGGAGCCATGGCCATAAGACGGATTTGTAATTGATGTACCACTTTGTTATTGTATTATTTGAATAATTACGACTTGATATTTCTAGTCAATTATATTGACATGACCATTTATAGGAAAGGAAGCTGTGGTTGTGAAATTTACTTTTCTTTTTTCAATTGAATTTTTACATTGATCAATCATGATGTTTCATTGTTTCTTGTCAATTTCATTGATTAGCCATGGTCATTGTTTGCTAAAGTGCCTCTAATATAAAACTGTAATAATCTAGGCTTTCTTTAAATATTAACCAAGTCAAATTGACTTGGAGGATGAATTAAGTTTCAAAAATTGCAGATTATGACTTTAAATTGATGCTCTTAGGGAATTCCTGTTCAAATTAAGCGGTGAGGAGAAGATTTTAATACTCCTCCGGTTATAAATATAAAACCCATTTTATAGTGTATATTACACTACAGAATAAGTCTTATATTTAAAACCAGAGGAGTACTAAATATGATGTATCTTATATTATTGTTGCATAATGATAAATTATGTACATTATGTCAATCTCTTTCCCACATGTCACTCTTTATTGGAAATTTATTTCCCCCACAACCAAAAAAAAAAAAAGATCACATTGATCGATGATATCACATCTTGATCACAACTTTGACACAATCTGGATGTCTCATTAGCTCAAATGCTTTGCTTATATCTTCCAAGTGGATCTCATGGGTCCAAAGTTCATGAATTGGAATTTCCTGTAACAAGAAAATTAATCTATTACTTAGCACATGCGATAAGTGACAATATCTCTAATTAAGCATATAATTAAGAATCGCCTTGTGCATCTGAATGTAGATACTCAGTTTACAAGCTTTTTAGCAGACATAAATCTCCTAGAAATTTTGATGATGATTATTAGATGAATAAAATCTGACACATAGCTAATCTCTTCAAGTTGAGACCAATTAGTAAGCCCAGTGATTTCTTTCAAGATATACTATAACGCAGGCCTGTTTGAGTTTTTACGGAAATTACACTGATTTTTTTTTTTTGCCTATTTTTAACAGCACTTTTTTCTTCAATGTCATCGAGGTTATGGAAACATGCTCTCCGGTTTTTCATAACTTCCCCAAAATTTTCAATATAAATATAAAATTACACAAATTATCTCCGAGTTTGCCATAATTACATAGGTATTCTTTCTATTTTAAAAACACATAGAAAACTCTCTGGAGAATAGATGTATAATTTCATTGCAGGTCACTACAACTTCTATATTTTTATATAGCTTTAAGAAATAAAAAAATCATCAGAAAATTTCTACAAAGTTGGAAAAAAAATTGCAATATATTTACTCTTATTTTCAATTCGCTGGGATTTGTCCAAAATTTATTTTAGATACTAACCTTTGTGTGACACATGTGGGCTATAAAGGGAAGATCAGAGATGGGCTTTATGCCTCCAAATACACAACCCTTCAATGTTCTTCCATGAAGAATGGTAGCATAACTTAACTGCGCACATTCAGCTCCAGCACTTACTACTACAGTTGTGCCCCCTCCCTGTACATATATTGCATGAGAAAAACTTGAATATCACCTATCTCACCATTAACTGATAAGTAAATTTCACATTTGTTTACCCTTTTTCATTTTCTTTTGGTCAAATACTCAAAACGTATCAAATTATTTCACTGTTCTTAATTAAGAAAACTTAAGCTATTGGTCTTATAATTTTTATATATAGTTGGAGAAACTAAATTGGAGAATGAAATGTACCACTCTAGTAGATTCCATGGCTTCATTGAGCAAAAAGGGACCGCCGGTGCACTCAATAGAATAATCTACTCCCATTTCACCACTTAGTTCTTTGACTAGTTGTGAAAGAGGCTTATCTGCAGATAACTTGTTAGGATATATAAAGTCTGTCATTCCAAAAGCTTCTCCCTTTTCTCTCTTCTTCTCATTTTTGTCAATCCCAATTATCTTCGTTGCCCCCATCAATTTTGCTGCACTTACAGCCTGCATCATTGCTAGCCATAATCTCTACTTTTGCTAATATTACTTACTAAGAAAGTATGCTATCAACAACTTGCACCTAAACTTCATTATAAATTCATCATATATGTGCGAGTACTAATTCCATATATATACGTAGAAATTTAACCCTATCTGAAGAAACAGGACTTCAAATCCCATATTGAAGAGTAATATATGTCAAACCTAAGTAAGGATAAATGTGAGCGTATTAAAATTACTCCACCTGGTCCACAATATAAGTTGCTTTTAAAAGGATAGATTAGTCTAAAATATGAATTAACATTTATTTTTCAATTTTGTCTCAGTAATTAATATACTTAAATTTAACTCTAATATTTTTCTCTCTTTTTCACAATTTCATTTCATATGGGTAAAGATATAAACAAATTTCAATTTGAGATCGATTATTTAATGAGTTCACTACTATTTTTTGGTTTTGATGAATTAGTTAAAATGACTTATATTGTGGATTGAAAAGAGTATGTATTGTACTCCCTTTGATCCTTATTATAAGATACTTCTTAGAAGGAAAGAAGGTTTCTTATTATGAATCACCAAACAACATATTAATCACATTTTTCCAAAATTGCCCCTATTTAAAAGTTTGATGCAATTTTCCTTTTCGACTTATGTAATTCATATTTCTAAATATGGGTAAATTTGGAAAAAAAATTCATTTTGAAACAAATTTAATGACTCAACAAGGTTCTGATGAAGTGGTTGGAGGTGCTCTTATGTGAGAAAGAGAGCATAATGCTAGACTCAAACCTTGGGAATAAAAAAATTACATTGATAAAGTTACCCCATAAAAGAAGTACTCATCATCTAATACCACATACAAAATAATAAATTTGTACTCAATCAGAGAACTAATGAATAATATCAGTAGATCAAAGAGAGAGATGCATACCCCTAATCCAACGGCACTAAGACCAAAAACAGCAACACTAGATCCTTCTTCAACCATGGCTTCTTTCCAGGCAGCTCCAAAACCAGTAGAGAAGCCACAAGAGATGAAGCTGCCGTGAGCTGCATCAATGCCTGATTCAACTTTGAGAACATAGTTAGCGTCAATGACCGTATACTCACACCATGTGGCACAACGCATACAATGATATGCCTTTTGACCTCTCACACGCATTCTAGAAGTGTTGTCTGCCATCAACCCATTAAACCTTATAGGATATCTCATGCATATGTTGCTCTTCCCTTTTATGCAAACCTCACATTCTCCACACTCTGATATGCACAATGGAATCACCATATCCCCTGCCTCCACATTCTTCACTTCCTCCCCTTTGCTCTCCACGACACTGCGTTTCATTAATATATTTTTCATTCATCATCATTAAGTTTGAAGAATCTTAAAAGTATAATTTATTCAAGTTACACTTTTACTTGGCTTATTATTTTAAATCTAAATCTAAATCATATACTAGGTTACTGCTGAATACATCATGAGCTAGTTTAGCCCGTATTATTATTTTTTCAGATAATATTTAAACTATTTAATTGCCTTATTAAGAGCTAGAGCTGACCAAAATATTCTTCTGGTTTATAAAAATATTTTGATTAATCTGTTAAAATTTTTTAGTCCTATTCTATCTTGTTAAATATACATGTAATATTTTTATATCACATAAATTAATGGACAGATAAATGTTTTGATCAAATCAGATCATTAAATTTTTTATTTTTAATTCCAAATAAAATCAGTGTAAAGATTAATTTATCTAATAAACTAAAAAAAATTAAATTAATTGCCGTGGCTGTACTTTTTTTTTGGCCAAGTGGCTGTACTTATTAGAACAGGCAGAAAGCCAAGCCTACCTCCCTTCACATGATGATACGCCAAATATATAATTTCTTTTGTCATTATTCTTACTAAATTGACTTTTCTTTTGCCATCACCTGCCTAAATTGACTTGGACTTTGGAAGATGATATTATTTTGAAAATAATTAAGGAGAGAAAATTAAAATTAATTTCACAGAAGGACTTAACAAGAAAAGATAGTATAAGCAATATATAATAATAATATTGTACCGATAAAAGAAGCATAATTATAAGCTTATAATTTATT